TTTCCACTCACTGACTGAGGTAAGCTGCATTTTTGCAAACCGTGCCAATATATATTGTGCTGGTCCCCCAGTATCTTCCCTCTCAAAGATCCCAAAGTATTCTTATAAGGTGGGGCCCAAGGCTGTAAGGTGCCAAATGGCATGAGAATGATGCAGACAAACTTCATCTTTGCTGAAGTCAATAGGGCTAGGGACAGACATTCAAAAAGCCTGAGCCTGAATTGATTCAATCTTTGCAAGTTAGTCTAACCTGGCTAGGCTAAATCAGTTTGTAACCAGACAGACATCCCAGAAATGTAAGCATGTGCCTGCAATGGCGCAGGCTGGAAGCCGGGGGGTGCTACAGCAGCCCTCCCTTCCCTTACTCAGCGCTGAGCTGAGGGGGGGGCATTGGCCAGGTCCCAGCAGGACACTCTGATTAGGGTGGGATTCCCCCCACCCCCGCAGAAGCCCAGCAGGGAATATTTATCACCCCTAACTCAGTGTTTATCAGCCCATTAAGAAAACAACAGAGGGACATTACCAGCTACCTGCTGATTCTGCCTTTGTCCGGTGTGCCACAGCTCAGAGGTAGCCAGCATGTGGTCTGCAGCTAATGCTGAGAGGTGTCTGTGAGGGACGAGGGAATGCCTGCTTAGCAGAGAGTGGGGAGGGGAGGAAGGGAGCAGAAACCAAGGAGATGCCTGCCAGTCTCTGCCAAAGCTGCAGCCAGGTAGCACAGGGGAGGGGCCAGCCCTGCTGTGGACCAGAGAGCCCTGCCCAGCCCAGTGAGCATGGTGGGATGCTGGGGGAGTCTGATTTAATTTAAACTAGCAAGGGGTCTGGGACAGACATTGCATAAACTGGTTTGAGCCAAATCAGTTAAATCCGATACTACATTCAACGAGGTTTATCTCAAACCGGTTTCAGCCATTTTCAGACTTGTTTATGTGCACTGAACATCTGTTCTCTTACAGGTTTAAACTAGTTTCTGATTACTTAAACTGCTTTATGTGTAATGTTTGTCCCTAGCCTAGGAGTTGGTGGTCTCCAGAATCTTGCAGAATCAGACCCTATAAAGGCATCTATGGAGTGGATCAGGGCAGCTGCTTTAACAGCAACAAGAGAAATCCTAGACAATAAGACTGGAAGGGACCTCAAGACAGCCCTTGAGGTTGAGAAGTGTGAATGAGAGCTGCAGAAGGACTTCAGGGCAGCAGAATGGAATGGCCCAATTTGGAATCTTGCCAGGCCCAAGGCTAGCATATATATGTGAAGTAAGCTATGGGAACTCTAGTTCAGTCAGTACTTTACTTTTACCTCATATGCCAAAGGAAGGACCTTCTGCCATATGCTGTCCTCAAGTACTGGACCTGAGGCATGGGTTCACAACCATCTCAGACCAGAAGCACTGACAAATTTGAAGAAACTTGTTGGCCCCAGAAAACTGAAACCTCTACACTTTGCCTAAGCCACCTAAAAGGTCACTTATGGCTGTGCAAATGGAAAGGCATCACTGAATGAATTCCATCACTTCCTGAAGCACCCTGTGATCTCCTTAGCAGTCTCCTATCAGAGTACTACATGAGCCTGTCCCAGTTTAATAAGCTTAATGATGCCAAGTGATTCTAGCTCCAATAATATTTTTGTGAGGTTTAAGATGGCTAGAAAATACCAGTGTTATCAGTGTGAAACTACTCAAACTATGTCTGTCTATAAGTCATTCAGTAAGTCTAGACAGTTCATCAAGGCTACTTCTTAATGGTGTTTTCAAAAGTAATACTAATAACAATGCAATGAATAAAACACTTCCAATCCGGTGTAATACTAACAATTAAAACAGACTGTCCATGTAAAAGCAAAAAGACAATAGTTTAAAAGGGGGGTGGGGTTGCACTGGGGGCCATGGGTGATTGAGAACCCAGTGCAATTCCCATTAAAGATGGCAGAAAGAATCCCATAGACTTTAAAAGCTAGATTGGCACCCCTTTTTACACATCTCCAGTGATGTGGAAGGATGGACTCTGCTGAAAGGCTCACAGGCAGCAATTTCTACATCCACAAAGACTACGACCACAGTTGTTCAAACAATCAACCATACGTGTTTCAAGGCTCCGTGCCTGACTGACAGCTGCCAGGAGAATAATCATGAAGCTTAAAGATAAAATTACTTGAGAAAACAGAAGCTAAAGAACTATTTCATTTCTGGTCTTGCTTTATTTAAAAGCCAGTGGTGATGACTATAGTACACTGTGTGTGCATCTACACAAGATGCTTTACTGCACAATAGTTCAGCTTACTGGGCAGTAAGCATACACATCTGCACATGTACATGCTTACTGTGCAGTAAACCATGCTACTCGTGAGTAAATTTGCTACCTGCAAATGCAAGTGGCAAAATTACTCACAAGTAGTTACTATGCAGTATAACATATGTAGATGCCAACCAGGAGCAAATTTGCTCTTGTTCAGCCCTGCCACTAGGCTCAGGGCTGGGAGTCTCTCCTGCCCTAGGGCTGGGCCAGCTCTATGGCAGCCCCAGCCCCAGGCCCTTAAAAGCCTGCAGGCAGTCTAAGCCCTGGGGCACATGTGCAGTGAGCCTGGGGCGACTGCTGGCCACTGCTCCCCCTGCACAGGCCAGCTGTGCCAGCCTGCCTGCACTGTGGTGCCACTCCCTGGCACCACAGTGCCATACAGCTGTCAGGGCCATGCTGTCCAGCCATGCAGGGTGCTGCAGGCTCCTGCCAGGCCTGCCAGCACCCAGGCCCAGCTGCAGCCAGCTTCTGACCACTGGGGCTAGCTCCAGCTGGCTGCAGCCAACCCACAGCAGCCTGCCCAGACCCCACAGGACATCACTTTGTTGTGCAGCTCCTAGTCCTGCACTGTGCCCCTGTGCTGGGTGCTGCAAGAAGCTGCCCAGGCCCAGCAGTACCAGGACAACAACATGGAGGCCCAGAGAGCTGGTGCTGCAGCCCTAATGGCATCATCACTGACTTTATATAATGCTTCTCAGGGCCCCAACTGGTCAACGGAGAATGATGACCTTATGGTACTGTGGGGTGAAACAGAGGTGCAGAGGTAGTTTGCATGGGGAGGGCACTCTAACACTCAAGTCTAGGAAGAACTGTCAGGCCAAATGCAGGAGCGTGGGCACGACTGGTTGGCACAGCAGTGTTGCATAAAGGTCAAGGCCTTTAGGGCACAGTGAGTCACCATCACTGACCACAACCATCGGCCAGGGAGTCTTGCAAATCTATGCCCTTGATGCAGTAACTGGATGCCATCCTTATGCCCTGGGACTCAGGCTGCAGCCATGCTGTGTCCTACAGTATGGGCCCCGTACTGTGTCTTGCAGTATTGGGCCCCTGCTTGGCCTGACATCTGTGGTGATATGTCACCAGGGAAGGGCCCCTCAGTCCACCAGCAGCCCAGCCTACCAAGCTCCCCACCCCCAGCCTCCTCCACCAGCTCAAGGAGCCCAGTACAGCGCCTGCCCTGTCAGCTCTGCAACCTCAGCCCCAGCCACGAGGCATGGCCAGCCATGTCACCACTGGCCACCAACAGCACCAACTCTTTCCTAGGGGGCTTCTGCCCAGGCAGCCACACACTGCAGCCCTCCAACCAATGACTCTACCAGGAGCCACACTTTACCACCAACTGAGACTTACCCAATCTACCAGGCATGCCAGCCCCACCCACATGGTAAGCCCTTCACTGAGAGGAGGGCCCTCGAGGGCAGGAGTCTGTGGATAGCTGCCCAGGCAGACTACAGCAGAGAATGAAGGAGGAGGTGGTCTATCAGTGCCACTTGCACCTGGTGCCCTGGCCCCCACTAGTAGGTGTGCTGCTTGCCTGGGGCCTCAGCAGGGGGGCCACCACTGTTGCTGCCACCACAGTTGGTGCTCCCACTGCCAGGCATCCTCTGCCCACTCTGCCTCCTCCACTCTGGCCTCATGAAAGAGCGCCCACTGAGCCTCACAGTTGTTATGCAGCATGCAGGCTCTGACAATGATCCTGGGGATGTTGGCTTCAGCCAACTCAGCACAGGCAGTGAGGGTGTGCCAGCATCCCTGGAGGTGGCCAAAGGTGCACTCTATGAGGGAGTGGGTCTGGCCCAGGCACCTGCTGAAGTGGGCCTGGCAGCAGTTGAGGTGGCTTGTGTAGGTCCACGAGCCAGGGAAGGAGTGGGTAGGTGGGGTCCCTGATGAGGAAGGGCAGGACCACCACCTGGCATGAAGCACCCACTCTGCACCATGGCTGGCAGGCTGGAGTTCTGGAAGGCAAGGGGAGCACAATGGAGTGGAAGCCCCACTGGTTGTAGGAGGGACATGTAACCTCTCATGCGTGTCATTCAATGACCAGTGGAACACTGGCCCAGAGAGTGAATATTCATTCTCCAGTGCATAGTCAGCTTGCCAGCTAGGGTGTCTGTGCGAACGCTGTAAGTTCTTGTTTGCCATGTCTTTAATATTGCATAAAAAAATAGAGAGGTTGATCTTCCTTACCCTCGTATAACCTCTGCAAAGATGCTGAAGGTCCCGTGTTTCGGGGCTCTGCCTCCCCTACACCCCACCTGGCATCTCTCAGATGACAACACTGGAAAATAATGTTTAATCAGAATTTGCAATAGTCTCTTCCCAGTACTGTCATGAAGGTCTATGCAATCCTCTGCGCCAGTACATTTCCCCCCAACTCAAGAGCTAACAAGTCCTTCTCACACCGCTATTCATACACTAAGGCTAGGGAAATTCAGCTTTCTTTCCTCAGTATTCAGCCCCAGTACTCACAACTACACTATTGCCTGTAGGTCATCCTGGCCTGTCTCCAGTAGTCATCGTTGCTGAAGCCCAGTTCCGACTCTCCAGCAATTGATCCGGCTCCTCCAATGAGAGCCACTTGCTGCTGTGGGTTCCACTGTTTGCCCCTGCCAGGCCCAGCCTTCCAACATGTGGCTACTGTGGAGCTGCCACCTCCACTTCCACCCCGTGTCCAGGCAGGTTTTGAACTCCGCTGCTGCGTTCTGCCCCTCCCACTGGGCCTGGCTCATCCTGGGGTCAGTGTCCCTGGACATGCCTGGTGTACTTCTGGGTCACCATTGGGGAGCCTCAGCCCAACTGCTGCCACAGTCAATCGAGCTCTACCACAGCAGGGTAGCCACAGGGTGGGCAGGTGATGGGGGTGTGGGTCCTGACCAGGGCCCAAATACACTGAAGGTGGCCAATGCAGCAGAGGCTGGTGGGCGTGTCCACCTTGAGCAGGGTGATGGCCAGCTGGGTGCCCACAGGGAGGGGCTGCTGCATGGTGGTGCCCTACCACTCCAGGTACAGGCAGAGCTACTCCAGGAGGTCCAGGAAGGTGGCTTGGGTCATGCAGAACACCTCTAGCCACTGCTCTTTGGTCCAGGTGGCCTGGATGATGTGCAGTCACCAGTCCTGGTTGGCTTGGCAGGCCCAGAGGTGGTGGGGCTGGAGACCCAGGAAGGTGTGAATGGTCCCAGCAGTCGTGTCCAGGAGTATATCAGTGGTGCCCCTGCCGGAGGCCAGCCATTGGGCCAGTCCTGGCACAGCAGCAGTGGCCATACCAGAATGTGGTGAGAGAGCCTCTACGTGCTGCCCCTGCACTGTGCCTGCTGCTCCTGGCCAGAGAAGTGGACTTTTAAAGATGGCCTCTAGCTGCAGGTGCCTGTGGCTGGAACCTCCAGCTCCCCCTCCTGGCAGCGGAGCCCCAGAAGCAAATCTGCTCCCACTTCCCTGAACATATAGACACCTGCCCAGGAGCATTTACTCAGGAGTAGTTTACTCATGCTCCCGGATCAAATGCATGTGCAGACACACTCTGTCAGCAGCTAATGTAACGCCTATTGGTGCTTTCCTGGAAATGGTCATGACTTCATAGAGATGCAGAGGCTGCCTACATGGGCAGCAGTGAGAGACAGAAGCACTGACTTAGGAAACACCAGGGAGGTCATGTGCCCAAAGAGATCAGCACAATGCATCCGAGGTAGTGTTAACAAGAACAGGACCTCAGCAAATACTACCAGGAATGATAGGAATTCATGTCTGGACCTTCCAAAGGGTCCAAGCCTTCCTTCCTTGTATCTCTAAGGCTTCCAGCCCCAAAATACTCTTCTTTCTTTAAGGCCTCACCCCAAGAGCACTGTAGTCAGTGGAAAGACTTTCACTGTTTATTTCCAATGGACACAAGAAGATTCAGGCCCTTACTGAGGCCAGTGAAATTGTGATGTGTTACAAATGTAGAAGAAAGTGACAATCTGAATGGTAATAAAAACAAGAATAAGCCATAGACCAGATACACTGTCATGCCAAGGAAGTCACTGCACAAAAGGAGAGAATAGCAATGTTCTCTTTTGGCATCCAAATGTCCTTTGGTGCAGCCAACTCCAGGTAAAAATACAACAAAAAAATTCCCAATAGGCTTCTTCTCTGTATTGCATATTGCTGTTGAAGAGAATTCAGC